AATTTTAGAATTTGGTGAACCACCCACTCTCCCCTTTCTTGTAGAAAAACCGTCCCTTAGAGGGACTCTAGAACTCCACTCTCGATTCTCTTTTTTTTTTTTTTTGTGTGTCCAAACATACAATTTTCAAAATCCAGAAGGACGGATTTTATTTAGTATAGGTCAAATTAAAATGCAAAATTTGACAATTGAGCATGAAGGGTCAAGTCAAGGATAAATAACTTACAAAAACATCACGTGCCTTTCATGTATCCATCACTAACCTCTACTCAAAATTCGCACCCAAATATGATGTGCAGTGAATTTTTTTATCTTTTAATTGTGCCCCCGAGTATTGTTTGTGAATTATAAATTCACAGATTACACTCGAATTTGATCAAGCATTCCTTTTCTTTCCATATTTATATTTTTTAAATAACTCACCCATTTTTGTTTGAAGTTTATACTGAGCAGGAGACCTTATCGAATATAACGTCTACTTTTCTTTGAATGTTACTTGCTTCCCAAAATCATTCAGGTAGCCATTTCCTTACCTCATTAATTTTATCAGTGTTTTTTTTTTGCTTGCTACAAGATTCAACCTATTTACGGTCTTTCAAATGACCTACTCCATTGATTGAATTTTCCTTTCACAATAGGTCTTTCCAAGACTAGATTTTTTTTGGAAATCAACAGGTAAGTTTTTTTCATCATAGGTCTTTTCAAGACTAGAATTTTTTTTTAGATAAACGGATAGGTCTTTCCGAGACCTGATCAATTTTTTTTTTGAGGTGGGATGCAATTTTGCACTTGTACACCTACAACATTTTTTGACTAAATATGTTGATGCATTTTTTTTCCACCGAAAGAAATTGAAACCTCCATTGTTTATGCTTCACGGGGATGCATTTCTTTTTGGATCCCAACCCTTGTATAGTTTTTTCATTGGGGTCTTCGAGAGGCATTTTTTTGTGGTCTTTTAGAGACTAGCAAAACACATTTTTTTATGGTCTTTTAATGACCAAGAATTGTATGGCTTCTTTAACAAACAAATCGTCCCTTTTTACTCCTTTAGTTGATCTTTGGAAGACCAATGTGGTGTGCTTTTTTCTATTTTTTTTTTATTTCTTTTGTGGTCTTTGAAAGACTAGTGGAATAATGTTATGCCTTTTTTTTTTATGGTTTTATTTAATCATAGAACTAGTTAATGAAATTCCCATTGATGCAGGGGTANTTTACTCCTTTAGTTGATCTTTGGAAGACCAATGTGGTGTGCTTTTTTCTATTTTTTTTTGGTTTCTTTTGTGGTCTTTGAAAGACCAGTGGAATAATGTTATGCCTTTTTTTTTATGGTTTTATTTAATCATAGAACTACTTAATGAAATTCCCATTGATGCAGGGGTGTGTGCACTTCCCTTCAGAATTGGAAAGCTCATATGCTCCTTTGAGAAAGCTTTGGTGATGACATACGGTCCTTCCCACTTTGATTCAAATTTTCCTCGCATCCGTCTCATCACAACCAATTGTCTTATAGTCAAGACCAAATCAACAATCGAGAAGGATCTGAATTTGGCCTTTTTATTAAAGGCACTTGCCACTTGGGCTTGGTAAATTTCAAGTCTTTGTTGGGCATCGAGCCTTTTTTCATCCAGGACTTCCAGCTCAGTTAATCTTATTTTTGTACTTTCATCTGGATTCGTGAACTGAGCAACAACCCGTAGAGATGACAATTACACTTCAAGTGGGAGCACTGCCTCTGAGCCATAGACGAGNGCCTTTTTATTAAAGGCACTTGCCACTTGGGCTTGGTAAATTTCAAGTCTTTGTTGGGCATCGAGCCTTTTTTCATCCAGGACTTCCAGCTCAGTTAATCTTATTTTTGTACTTTCATCTGGATTCGTGAACTGAGCAATAACCCGTAGAGATGACAATTACACTTCAAGTGGGAGCACTGCCTCTGAGCCATAGACGATGCTATGTGGGGTACAACCCATGGAAGTATGGATTGTTAACTTGTATGCCCACAAAGCTTTTGGTAGCCTGTCATGCCAATCTCTTTTGTTTTTGGAAACCATCTTCTTAAAAATTTTGCATAGCACTTTATTGAAGGCTTCGGATTGTCTGTTAGCTGATGGGTTGTGTAGCTTGCAGNAACCCGTAGAGATGACAATTACACTTCAAGTGGGAGCACTGCCTCTGAGCCATAGACGATGCTATGTGGGGTACAACCCATGGAAGTATGGATTGTTAACTTGTATGCCCACAAAGCTTTTGGTAGCCTGTCATGCCAATCTCTTTTGTTTTTGGAAACCATCTTCTTAAAAATTTTGCATAGCACTTTATTGAAGGCTTGGGATTGTCTGTTAGCTGATGGGTTGTAGCTTGCAAAACGCCCATGTCGAAACTTGTATTTTTCGATCAATTTCCACACGAATTGATTTTTTAAGTATGAGGCATTATTAGAGATGATCTTTGATGGAACTCAATAACGATAAATTATGTGCTTCTTAATAAAATTAACAACATCCAATGCCCTACTTTTAAAGGTACAACTTTAATCCACTTGGAGAAATAATTTGTTCCCGCCAAAATGTATTGATGAGAATTTGAAGATGGGGACTTAAAAGGGCCGATTACATCTAGACCCCAAGTCTAGAAAGGCCATGTCAACATTGTTGGATGGAGTAATTGAGGGGTTGATGTATACAATCTCCATGAAGCTAACAAACTTTGCAATTTTTTGTAAATTTCATTGAATCTTGTACTATGGTTGGCCAATAATAGCCCAATTGCTTTGGCTATGTGGTGAGTTTAGGTCCAGCTTGGTGCGCACCGTAAGTACCAGTATGAGTTTCATACAAAGCATTCGTCACTTCTTCTTTTGACTGGCACCTAAGAAGAATTCCTTCAATGGATCTTCTACATAGAGTGTCATTTAGGTATGCAAAACGAAGGGCTCTTCGTCTCAAATAAACATTTTTTTTTTGGGGTCAATTACATCTTCTTCAATTACACAAATAGTTACTACAGTTGTGCTTTCTGCAGCTTTCATACACTCAAGCACGGGAGGTAGTAGAGGATGTTCCCCAACACTACTGGATGTCTTGAAATTTAGACATTAAGTATTTACCCCTTTGATAGTAAAATACCAAATTTCCATTTTTCACTTCATACTGATCGCTTAATTGTTTGACAATTAAATGAGAATCGTCAAACACTTGTAAACAATTAATATGCATTTCAAGTGTAATTTCTAGACCAATGATTAATGCTTCATACTGAGCTACGTTATTTGAGCATAATAGCGAGAATGAATATGGAATTAATTCGCCAGAATGTGTCACCAACACAATACCTGCCCCCACTCCTCGTTTCCTTGATGCCCTATCAAAATAAAACTGTCTGCCATGATGGCGTTTCAACGGACAAGACTTCACCGTAAGGAAAATCATCAGGTAACTGCATGTTGTTCGGAACAGGATGAGCTATTTGGAAATCTACAAATGCTTGTCCTTTTATTGCCTTTTGAGGTACAAATGTAATGTCAAACTCCGTTAACAGTACAAACCAACGGGCAACTCTTCCTGACAAGAATGGTTTGGACATCAATTATTTTAAAGGGCTAGCCTTTGATATTAGCCTTATAGGATGGGCAAGTAAGTAATGTCGTAATTTTTGCATTGAAAAGATTAATGCCAAACACATTTTCTCAATAGGGTAGTAGTTGTTTTCTACTCCCACAAGCGTCCTACAGAGCTAGTATAAGGCATTTTCTTTTTCATCGTCGCTTTGAGCTAACAATGTCCCTAGAGAGCGTTCGAGTGCAACAATATATAAAATTAGGGGCTTTCCTTTTATAAGAGTCATTAACACAGGAGGTTTTGATAAATATTCCTTAATGCTTTCAAAAGCATTTTGGTATGCTTGATCCCATACAAAAAGGCACATCCTTTTTCATTAGCATTCCATACAACTTTGAAATAAACCTTCTTATGTCGGCCAACTTCACTTGTAAACTACATAACTTGCATAACTTGCCAGGAGCGCNCCCTTAGAGGGACTCTAGAACATCACTCTCAGTTCTTTTTTTTTTGTGTACAACATACAATTTTTAAAATCCAAAGGATGTATTTTATTTAGTATGAGTCAAATTAAAATGCGAAATTTAACAATTGAGCTTGAAGAGTCAAGTCAAGGATAAAAAAATTTACAAAAACATCACGTGCCGAGCATGTATCCCTCACTAACCTTTGCTTAAAATTCGCACCTAAATATAATGAGCAGTGAATTTTTTAATCGACGAACAAACACAAATAACTACAAGTTGATGTGTGCTGGGCCGGGCCAACCACTAGGCAACTGAGGCGCTTGCCTAAGGTCGGGCCCCACTCAACCAGGTATCTTGCTCTGATAAGAAGTTGAAACTTGAGCAACTGTATGTCAGGGTTAAGGAAAAGAAAGAGAAGAAGAAATGAAGATAGAGAGTATTAAACAATGTGGTGTTTAGGGTGTAGTGTTGTCAACAGACTCAACACGTTATCATCTAGTTATATTATATTGATATTGAAGACAATTACAATATTAGGATAGTAGAACATAACAGGAAAATAGAACAATAGGAAAATGACATAATAGGAAAGCAATATAATAGGAACGTAACAGTCGTAAACCTAATTGTTGGTGCTAGAAGCATACATACCCCCTTAGGTTGTCTAACGCGAAGAGCAAATATCCTTTTCAAGGGTCTTACACTAACTGTTTGAAAAATCAAATTCATAGATTATAACAGGCCCAAGGGGGTATGTATGCTTCTAGCACCAACAATCAGGTTCAAGACCTTGAAAAGGAGATATATTGCTATCCAAATACGCCCTTAATTCCTGAGATATGCATGAGGGTACCAAGTCAGATAATTTTAATGAAAAGAAAACTATCAAGAATTCACCCAGAAGAATGCAATGAAGAAGATAGACTAGACTCATCTAACCATGCATTTACCAGATAATATGAAATCAATCTTATCATCTACACAAGCAGATTACAGAATCAACTACCACACAAAAACTCACCCGCAAGTGTGATACTATTGAAGTCATTTTCACAGTGACCTCGCATGTAACTTCACCAGCTGAAGACAGGAAGTCAAATCTATCTGCATCTCGGATCTTAAGCCTAATTGATGAACCTCTATATGCTTTAGCTTTTATATGCCAAACCCCAACAACAGTGTAGCGGTCTCCAGAAGACTCCTTCCCAAAGCGCCATCTTAACCCACCCTTCACTTTCGGGTCAAAAGTGGCAGAACTAACTAGACTTCTGATGCTATCCATCTCATCGTCCTGGAACAGAACAGAACAGAACATAATTTAATCAGATCACAAGTTTCATCCCATTATACATGTATCAGCAAAGAAATTCTCTTAACTTTTGTTTTCATCACCCACTGGGAAGATGTAGCATAATATGTGTGGGTGCCTTCATTCATGTGAGCAGGTAAGAGAGTCATCATTAGGAGAAAAAAGACCAATTATATCATATTACCCAAATTTCATTTAGGAAACATCATCTTCTAAATACATCTCCTGAAATTAACAAATTCTTGACTAATGATTAGATATCTAAGCAAACCGATAATCTTTATAATGAAAGAAATCCACCCACATGAATTATCAAATATTCGTTTTGTAAAGTAGAGCAGTACTACAAGTTGCACACACACACACACACACACACACACAGAGTAGCTACATAAATAAACACCAAAGCCAGAGAAAACATAACGACTTATAATATCTGCTTGAAATTGTAGAAATGAGATATATCTTGATTTTAAAAATGCTATTTCACAGAGAACCAAAAGAATATGAAGAAAACATTAGATATCAAAATCCAAGGAAAAAATAACAAGAAATAAAGGGGAGTCAGAGCTGATACTTTACTAGCAGCTTCTGGCTGGAGTAACTATCATGGTTTTGGCTTTTGATACAGCTCCAAAGTTGATGAGCAATAATAGATGACTTAACCAAACAAAGATATTCAAATTCAATTAAAAAATGTCCTGTTCACAAATTTGTAACGGAGTGAATTACATCAAAGATATTAGCTGGATATCCAAATAGAACTTCCTTAAGCCATACAGCATACAGAAATTAACCAATATAAGTATCAAGTTGGCTTTTGCAGAACTTAAAACTCACACAAGCCCCAATAGAGTCTGCACTATAATGCAATATTATAATGCTCCAGATGAAAGAATCCAAGTAATTCAGACAAAGGAGAGCAAAATTACTCACTGTTAAAGTAGTTATGATTCTTTTGGTGCATAGCATCAGCCTCAGGTCTACGGACTTATCAAGACAGGACATATCTGCAACTAGATGGCGCACTTGGTTCAATTCAATCTACAAGAAAGGAGACTAGGCATCAATGCAAGCTTCCACAAGTAAAGTCTTTTAAAAGCCGAGGCAGAATATAAAGCATGCAGGAATATTGTCTCAAAAGTTAGGTGTAGTTGTTTACTGAAGTACCAATAAGTAACAAATTCAATTATACTGATGAAAAAAAACAAATTCAACTATATTAGTATTCCTACTGCAAAAGGCGAATAAAAGCAACATATTTATAAGGCTGATTTAAATAAGTAGAACCAGGAAACTTGCCTTGTACAATTCAAGTTTTTTCTGATTTTTTGCCACGCGACATTTGCATGAGATAGTTGATTCAGGTTGCAGGTTATCAGACAGCTATACAATATAATAGCACATTTATTANATGAGCAGTGAATTTTTTAATCGACGAACAAACACAAATAACTACAAGTTGATGTGTGCTGGGCCGGGCCAACCACTAGGCAACTGAGGCGCTTGCCTAAGGTCGGGCCCCACTCAACCAGGTATCTTGCTCTGATAAGAAGTTGAAACTTGAGCAACTGTATGTTAGGGTTAAGGAAAAGAAAGAGAAGAAGAAGAAATGAAGACAGAGAGTATTAAACAATGTGGTGTTTAGNGATAGGAAACAAACTTTTTCATTAATAAATAAAATATGGGATGCAAAAACAGTTGGATAAGGAATCCAACTACGAAAATGAAATACACAATGAAACAATAAACCTATAAACCTATAAATCAAAGGAAACTTTCCATCCTGCTAAAATAGCAAAAAATAGAATCCTTTGTACTCCTTTGTCACCGAGCCCAAAATGTTAAAAAATGAACAAGCTCCCATAAGCCCTCCATACTATCACTCCGATCTTCAAAAATTCTTACATTTTATTCCTTCCATATAACCCAAAACGTGGCCATGATAGCACATTTCCAAAGAATAACACCATTATCAACTCTTCCAAAACCTTTAACAGCTTTAACAAACAATGAATATGATGCTGCTGGAATCACCCAACTCAACCCTACCACTCGAAACAACAGATGCCATAATATCAAAGCAGCCGGACAATGTAAAAATAAATGATCAATGCTCTCTACATCACCTTTGCACATCAAACACCACTGGGGTGAAAGACAAGTGTGAAGCCTCTTCTGAAGCATATCATTAGTGTTAATCTTATCATGTATTACCGTCCATGCAAAGACTTGGTACTTTAATGGGCACTTCAGAAGTCCAAATCATCAAAGCACCGGTAAACAAAGGATACGGATTTTCATCCAACAATGACTCAAAATTTAAATGAGAAAAACTCCTGAAGACTTATTTAACCATTGTCTTGTGTCACTAGAACCTTGATTAACTGGGACGCTATTAAGAATATCAAGAACAGACTTCAAATCTATAGTGTCTCTATCATCAAGATTCTTACGAAAAACAAAGTCCCAAGAGTACGGATAATGGTATGACCTAATCATAGATGCAATGGAATACCCATGAGAAGAAGACAAATAATAGAGCAAGGGATACAAACATGAAAGTGCAGACCCACCCATCCAATTATCCTCCCAAAAGCGAACTCTTCCTCCATTCCCCACTGTAACCTTTACATCTTTGGAAAACCTCGTCAATCCCCGTGAAATGAATTTCCATGATCAGCGAAAACTTCCCCTCTCAACCCTATTAGGGTCCCATTCATTGGCCTGAAACCAATATTTGCTCTTGAGAATGAAATGCCAAAGGGAATTTACTTCCAAGGGAAATCTCCAAGTCACTTGCCTACCAAAGCAGTATTTCTCATCTTCACATTACCAATTGACCAACCACCACCATTCCTAGATCTAGAAACCACCCCCCAAACTAATCAAGTGATCTTTCCTCCCCTCCCCACTACCCTCCCACAAAAATCTTGTATCATTTTTTCAAGTGTCATAGCTACTTTCCCTAGTATTTTAAATAAAGATAAAAAGTATGTGGGAATACTAAATAGAGCTCATGAAACAAGAGTTAACCTTCCCCCGGTTGATATGTATGCCTTCTTCCACCCATCAAGTCTTTTTCCCACTTTCTCATCTACAAAGTCCCAAAATTATAATAACAATGGATTCCCACCCAACGGCAATCTTAAATACTTTAAAGGCCACTGTCCCACCTTGCATCCCATAAATCCTCCCACTCTATTGATCTTATCTTGATTTGAATTAATGCCCACAAGGACACTTTTATGTATATTCACCTTTAATCCAGAGACCAATCCAAACA